TATCTTTTCTTCACAACATCATTGGCAATCAGTGGTAATGAAGAATCGTCCATTTTTCTATTGCAATATAATAATATATTGGACAAATATTTTTATATACGCTATCAAGATATTCATCTGACAAGTTATTAAATAACTGGTATCGCTCGAGGGAAACTGATATGGTATAAAAAATAATAAAAACATGAAGTGGCAATTATATAAACTAATAATATTTACTGTTATTTATTAGAATTATTTACACTACAATTAACGAAAATGTAGAATATTTTATTTGTTTAAAATTATTGGTATAATGTAATAAATAAAAACAGAACGTGCCACGATGGTGGTCTTTCCTTTTAGCTTACATTACGGAGAACTGGAAATCCCGGTAGCCCGTGCATTGATATAAATTAAATTTGATTTTAAAGATTGAATTAATTGAAATAGCTTGATTATCGAATATATATATATAAAAGAAAATTTAATATGTTAAGCTAGTCGTTTAATCAAATTATATGGGATAAATGACTGTAAAAATTGTAAAATTTCTCGAAATGGTTCCACAGTAAAATTATAAAGACATACATATCATTAAAAAATAAAAATCAACTACAAAATATAGGTACCTATTAGTATATTTGAATGTCCTGCATATAAAAAAAAATCACTTCTTCAAAATGCCAACTAATGATTAGATTTCTGATCTGTTAAAATGATGTATGAATCCTTTGTAACTCTCTATCCTTGAAAAGTCTCCACTAGAAAATCACTGACTGAAGAAAATATTATCACTTCTGACCAAAATTTAAATGAAACGCATAGGATAATCTAGGTGTATGCAGCGTATTCGCTAAAGCAATAAAGCGCAATATATTGATCGTCGACGATTATTATGTTCATTATGATTTCAAGTATTATTTATATCTAAAGTATATTACTTTAATTATGAAGTGCATCTGGAGTACAGAAATGTGACGAGTAAAAACAAAAAAAAATAGAGGAGGAAATTTAACAGCCGTTGCTGTTAGTACCTAAATGTATTTATTCGGTATTCACTAAAGTGCCTGTATCGCAGACAACTGTTGTACATGTAGTATTATTTAACTGCCGTTATATTATTATCTACCTACGTCCGACGGATACACCCAGATGGTAGGGGTACACAATAATACCATGGTTAACTAAGATATAAATCATTGTTTTTATTGTCCACTATCTCAAACATGACGAGTTTATAATCGTGTATTAGAATAATAAAAATAAATTTTATCCGAACCTATTAACCATTCAAACCGAACGTGTTTGTACTTAAATTTTTTTTTCCTAATTTTTATTTTCACTTAAAAACAAATTATCTTTATCTTTTTCTCTTTCGCTTTATAATTAATAATTATTGAGTTCGAATGACTGTAACCACTTGGATTATTCCAAAATATTTCATTATTTTTTTTCATATTTGTTTTTTGCCCGTCTCTCTCCCTCTCTTGTTTTTTACATATTTTATCCTATGGCTTTCGGGTATTTAGATTTCAATAAGTCTTAAACATAAATTATCATCAATACAAAACATAAAAATGTATATATATAGATACGTGTCGGGTATGCGCGTAATCCGAACGTACCAGACTGCAGGCTATTTGTTTATCATAAAGATGTAAAATATAATATTATTGTTCATCAGAGCAATTTACAACACAATTGATTTACTTCTACGCTCATAATGAAATATTATAGACCGTGGTAGGTACCTATTTACCATAATTATTTGTTGTTATTTAATTATTATTATTATTATTGTGATATCGTAATAGGTATGTCATTAAAAAAGTCTATAGTTAAAATGTATAAATGACAAAACAGGACACCTCCTAGTATAGTTTATCAATAAAATGTATTGATAAAATGTAAAATTACATGATTACTTTATTAAATTATATGCGTACAAACTATTTTAAATATGTTTTATTGGCTATATATTTTTTATTAAAAGACTGAATCATTTTTCTCTGCGTATATTTTCAACTGCATAAAAAAATAGCCAAATTGTTTTTTACAGATTAATAATTTATTTTGGTGAGATTTTCTAATTTTTAACATATTAACTAAAAAATGATAAATGTTGGTGACGATTATTTTTTTATTAAATTAATTTTTATTTATTATAATTATAACAAATATAACATAATATAATATATGTTATTTATTTATTAGTTTTTTAAATCATTTTCAATGTTATATAATATAATATAAGGTATATTTAATATTGTAATATACTTATACAACACACAGTTTTTTATTAATTGTATTTTATAATTTATTTGTTTAATTTGATATCTTTATCATCCGATTATACAAAAGCTTATAACATTACTAATATTTCCTGAATTACATTTTTTGTTTAGTAAATTTGATATAGTTTGTATAGTAGTACAATTTTGTAACTAAAATAGTCAGCAGGTGTACCTAACAAAATATTTAAATATTAATATAATATTCATCTTAACATTATAACTCGATTACACTAACGTTTAAATTTATTCACTATATTATTTCATCATATATGATTTTCTGAGAAATTATTTAGAGAAAATTTGATGAGCTGAATCTATTAATTAATCTATTACTCTTTAAACGATTTAACTAATAAATAACTGGTTGGTTTAAATATATTATTATTAAAAGAACCAGTTTTGTTCCAAATACGATAAAAACGTTTAAATAAATATTTACACGGGCAAATTAATTAACCGATTGTAAATAATTATTATGTAGAAAATCTGAAACACAATATTCCACTCTAAGCATTATTAAATATTAAAACTCCTTAAAAAAATAAAATTAATGTTTTTTAAAATCAATTTATTTCCCTTGACCAGTCTTAATAATTTAATTAAATAAAACAATTTTTTTATAATGGGCGGTTATAGTTTAAGTAATCATTATTGCCTAACGCCTATATGTAATAAATAGACATTACAATTTTTGAAGATTAAGAGTAAATAACTACAATTTTTTTATGTGTGATATTAACTATGCTTCTCAATATGTTGGATATTTAATGTTTTTTTTATTATGGTTTATCATAGTTTAAAAACTGAAAATAATCATGGTTTCATACTAAAACATAATACAATTAACTTACTGTACTTGTATCAAACATATTCAATTGTAGTCTGAAGATATTTATCATGACTATTAAGCTAGTATTTATTTAAGCAATAATTTCTACTTACAATGTTTTTTTAAATTTTTTATTAGGTAATACTTTTTACTTTACAATATATTATATTACCATCTATATAATATCTGTATATGGCATATCTTGTTATTTATTATGTATTTACAACTGATATTTATAGATTGATATTACTAAATGTAATTTACTTGATATTATATATATTATATTATAAACATACTGAAGCTTGAAAACTATAGAAATTAATTTATACTTCATTCAAAATTACTAAATCAATAAGCATTTTACTCTGTCAATACGAAAATTAACAGATTTTGACGTTTTGTGGCTATAATCATTCACCATAATACATTAGCTCTGTGAGTTATTCAAAGCTACCAAGGATTCACCAAGATGTAACAATATATTATTAATAATTAATATCGTATAGTTTCAGATAAAATTTGATGCCCAAAGAAGATTCTATTATTCTTATTATGTAACAAACTAAAAAATGTCGCTTTCTGTTTATAAAATATTAAAACGGATCGGTTGTATGAAAAATTAGCCAACTCTTGAAAAATTTCTGTTTTTAAATCAAAAACTCTATAGATTAAGTTAAAATGGAAGAAACATAAATAATAATGAATCTTAAAAATAATAAATTATGTTATACATGTATGTACTCACAAATCTAGTCTTTAGACTTGTGTTTTGGTTTTTTATCAAGTGCATATGTAAGATGTAAGATGTAATTTTTATTACCTACAAATTAAATTCAAGCCGATTAAAATAAGAATTGTACAGTAGACATTAAAAACCAAGTGGAATTTACTATCCAATAACTTAAAACATTTATTTTTTTTAATAGTTTTAATGTTATTAGAAATATTTCTTTTTTGTAGTATTATGTCACTAATCATTAAACACGATAAATTACATAAAATCACCAAAACTTTTCTCTAATAAAAAAGCGGATCTGACTGAAATTTTTTTTTTTAATAGGTATTGGAAGTTAACAAAAAAAGAATATTGTTTAGATGAATAATAAAATAATCAAGTTGAGTATTGACTAAAAAAATGTATTTGAAAATTCTAATACATATTGGAATGGAATGTTTAGACACACACATATATATATATATTTTTATTGAACTTAAGCCCGGGGACTAGGGCCATTAGCTATTGTAGGGATTATGAACTGTGGTAGGAGTAAGATTGGTACGGTAGGTGGTTGTTTTTTTTTACGATTGTTACGGTTGATAGCAAACACGTGTATATGTGGTAAGGTTTTTAATCACTACCCAGTGTGCAAATGTGTGACACTGACCTCGCCGAGACGTAGATTTTGAGTTAAAATTTAACTTCACAATGTAACGGATATACATGTATTGAAGTTATAGGAATGTAAAGTAATAGTGAACTCCGCGGATACCTTACTAAATTTAAGTGCATGCAATGTTTAATGATGACATGACATGGAACTTCATTCACATTTAAAAGTTACTTGTGAGTTATGTGATTTGTAATTAACATTACAATCGAGATGTTGATGGTATATCAATAATTTACCTCCATGTAAAGTTATATGTAGGTACCACATGTGACATTGTAATATATTATATAATATTATACACGCGTCCTACACTATTTACAGAAATAAAAATAAATTTATAACATTGGGTTTCCCAATGTTATAGAACTTTAATGAACCTCTTATAGACGGCGCATATAAGTCGCAGGCGAGTTGGAATTGTTGTATAATATAATAATATATAAATAATATAATTATTATTATTATTTATTATAAACTGATGTTTTTTATATCGTAGACCACAAAATGCAAGAAGCATAACCTATAACCTATAAGAATACCGAATATTATATTACTGCCGTCGACAATTGAGTATTGACATTCATTCGCTTATTATTTTCATTTTTCCGTACGGTCTCAATGGTCTCATACTCTCATCGTAATCACCGTGTTATATAGTGTATTAACTTTTAAGTATTTCGTTTGCACCGTTATTTGCTTTTAAAATAGGTAACTACCTAATAAAACTATAAAAGTGTTGTGTAAATATATTGTTGTCTGTTGAGTTTACAATAGCTGTCTATAAGCATAGAACATATTATGTACCTACTATAATATTCACTATTAAGGTATGTAAGTGGTAAGTCTACACATTTTTTATGTTTAATAATATATAGGAAATGTAAAACCATCAAACGGGCCAACTGTAAGATTAATTTATCTTGATGTATCTTTTTTTCAGTGTAATATTTTTTTTTTAATTAAGGTTTGGTTTATTAATATTTCTGATGCATATGAACCATACCTACAAATTATTCCTTCGATGGTTTTTTTTATTTTTATGCTTGCCCCGTGTTGTACTGAATATTAACAATGTGGCAATCAAATTGACATTCATGTTTTTTGTATGAAAAACCTATGTTATCATCCACTTAAACCAACTTAACCCTTAGGGCACTATTTTAATTTTTTTTTTAAATAATAGACCATTTTCTGAGTGTAACAGATATATTTTGTAATTGCAGGTTAGTATATATTAACATATAAGAATAATAATTACATTATTATTCTCTTATAATTTTCAACAATTTTTCTACGACATTTACCCATCAGTACAATATTAAAAATATAACTAATAACTATATAAGTACTATTTAGACTAAATTATTCTTGTTTAAATGGAATTGACTTGTTTAAATTGGCCTAAGTTGAACTAAAAAATTTAAATTGTAATATACAGAAATAATAATTTATAATATAGTAAACTATACATATACACATCCAAACATATTTTTTATTATTAACTTTTATTTAAAACACCTCATTCAATGAGTTTTATTAGTATTAGTGTAAGTTTTCAAACCTAGCAAAACAATAGATATTTAACATAACATTAATTAATACAAATTAATGTTTAGGTTAAAAATTTTAAGCTGCAACACTACTAAAGTTATTTAAATATTGTTAAGATAAAAAAACAATCTTTGTTTCACATTCAGAGTTCAGACATTCAGTATATGGTTAAGACTATAAGATAATATTTTTGCCCTAAGTTGGCTCGTTTAACAGTACTTACCTACTTATATAACTATTACTGGTCTGCTGTCTCCTATATTTATTTCAAACAACTATGAATTATAAATTATAATAAATAATAATGGTTGAAATTTTAAATTTTCAGCACACTTGTTATTAAAATCTTTTGTTACATCTACATCAGTACAGTTTTATTATGTCTTCAACGCAATCTAATAATGCTCAATCAAATGCCAATAACGCCATTGACTCTCATCAAGATATGTCTATTCCACCCATTCAACCAATTCAAGTAAATATTCAGATTATTTTTATTTTAAACTATTACAATACTATTAAACTTATGAACCAATCACTCAGACACCCCCCTTTAGATTTTTGTTTTTTCATAATTTTAATATTATGTTTAATAATAATAAGAGATCTGGAGTTGGACTAAAAAATATTACGTATGTAAATTATAATACATTTAATAGCTAATACTAGGTGTTAAATATCAGTTATAATAATATTATAGGTATTTTATGGATTTAGATTATCAAATGTTACTAATAAATTAATTTTTTTTTTTGTTATTTGTGTGATATAATATCTAATAATCACATTGTAATAATAATTATTATTTATTAGTGGGTTGTTGGATACTTTGAAAATGAAAATAAATATTCAGTGATCCCTTCAAATTGGTTGATTATGGTAAATAATACTTGGTTCTCAAAGTGGCCGAACAGTTTAAACATGGGCACAGTAAAATCAAATATACAAAATGGTACAGAACCTAGTAAAAGCTGGAAATGTTTTCCAGTTAGAACTTATGAAAAATATAGTAAGAGAAATACTTTAATATAAGTAGCTAATATATAGCTGCTTATAGATAAATTATAAGATATAATATGTTATAAACATTATAATATATTCCTATTTTGTTATATTTTTTTTTGTTTATGATATAAAAAAATAATAAGGTACATACAAAGAGGCATCTTTACGTGAAAAAGAATTATTTTCATGTTCTGAACAGTCAGACAGTGGAGTTATGGTCAATAAAAAAAGGAAGAAAATCCCCAGTGTTCGTCTATCAAATTTTTTAGAAGACAGCAATAGTGGTTTGTTGATTTTTTTATTACCAATTACTTAGCAATATTAATTTTTAGTTAAAATGTACAAATATTTTTCTTATAAGGTGATAAAATATAAAAATTATAATGTAAAGGTACCTAACTACTTAACTATACAGCTTTTGTACCTATCAGAAGTTCCATTTGTTACTTTTACCAGTAATGTAATTAACTTTTTTTTGGGGGGGGGGAGGGATTTAAATAATATACCTGTTTCAGGCAAAAAAAATAATATTTTGTAATTTTTTTAATTATTGACAATTAATACTTAATTTTAAACACATGTTGCAATGTTCATGACATATATATTTTTCATTCTACCCATTTCAAAACTGAGTTTTTATTTTTATATTTTATCCTCTAGTATACTACTGACTTAAAGCTATATATTTATTTATTTTATGGCCGATCTAAAAGGAAGTGCATATTATTAAGTACCATAATTCTAATAAAAGAAGTAGTTTTTTTTTTTTATCATTGTCTGCATATAGCTGATAGTTTTGAAAGTTTAAGGAAATATAAATAAATGTGTTAGAAACACTTGTTTATAATAAAATATTTAACCATCATCTATTCCAGCAGTTCCCAAACTTTTTTGAGGCCACTACCCCTTATAATTTCACGGGAATTTCACCTACAATTTTAACAACCCCTTTGTAATGTTAGTACCTGTTCAAAATATATAACATACTAAAAATAAAAATAATATAAACTTGATAAATTTGTGTTAAACTACATTTAAGATCTAATTGGTATAATATATTTATTTAAAAAAAATTTATAAAATATATATAGGTACTAATATTTATTTATTTATTTATTTTTTTTGTAGGTAGTAGCAGTGCAGAAGAGTCCCCTGTTAAAATAATTAAAGCCAAATCAAAAAGTTCTACACCTCACCCTAGAAAATCTTTAGATTTTAACTCTATGCCTTCTAATATTGTTGCAGGTATTTGCTCTATACCTTTACCTTACAAATATAATTAATAATTTATTATTTATTAAATGTTTAAAAAAAGTCTTAACACATATTATATTAACTGTAATATAGTTATATAAAATAATATAATGTAATATAGTATGCTTATGTAATTAATTGTTGTATAATAAGTACTACATGTTAGGTGTTTTAATTTAATTCTAGATGCTATGGATACATTGTATAATAATGGTGAACATTTTTCTCAGCCTATAAAAAGCTTTATTAATCATAATCCTACTGATCACTTAGAAATGCTTCAATCAAACTTAAGTGAAATTACCGCTTCATCACTCCCAGATAATTCTAATGAAATACATAGTGGAAATACAGCTTCTTTAATTCCAGATAGTTAATATTGATTCAATATAGATTTAAATATTAAAGCTACCTAATATATTATTTTTGTTTTAATTTTATAAATTATTTTGTATAGATCATCATCAATCATTTGAAAATTTTAATAATTCTATGATATTCAATAACAACACAACATTGCATTTGGGTGGCAATACAGGTTTGCAAACAAATCCACCGAACTTCGATTCATTGATTAATAACTCGTGTGAAAATTTCCAGGGTAATATTACTTTAAAAAATTAAAAAAACCAAAACTATAATATAATTTTTTTTTTCAATAGTGACCAATGATGACAACAGTATTATTTTAAAATCTGTTCTGGAATATGTTAAACGAATTGATAGTAGGTTGTATAAAATAGAAGAAGAGCTGAAGCATGGAAATCAAAATATTATGCAACAAAAACCATTAAATGATGAATTTGTATCTCTATTTCCAATGAAAGAACCATCAGAAATAACAAATGTTGATTTAAGATTGGAAAATAGTCCTGAATTTGAAAAACAATTTGTAAATAATTATTTAGATTAATAATATTTAAAAAAAAAAAAAAATGTAATACAATAGGTATTTTAAAAATTTTAGAAAATGTTTATGAAAACCATCAGTGGAGTTAAAGTAAAAAACTTTGTAAAAAGGGTGTTAAGTCGGCTTTTTACAAATAAATTAGCAATGAATTGTTCTTGGTGCGGACTACAAGGAAACTTTGGTCTACAGAAGTTGAGAATGTTTAGTTTAATGAATGGTTAGTATATTTTAGTACACAACTTACGTTTCTCTGTGGATAAATTTTTTTGATAAAAGAAATTGTATTCCTATTGTTTTTTCAGGTGTATGTAAAACTATATTCAACGATTGCACCGACTCCATGTTCGAAGAATTGGTGAAGGAATGGTTTAAACATGGAAAACAGCGTTATTTCAGAGAAAATAAAAATAATAATGTTACATCGAGTTTTAATGCAACAATGTAAAAAGTTATTTTAAGATAAAAGTAAACGATTATATATTATATAAATTTGAAATAGTAGTCGTTGTTATAGAACCTCAGTATGAATAACAAAAAAAATACCTAATTATTGCCAAGTTTTCTTGAGTTACCTATTATCTTATATAATGAATACGTTTGCATTAATATACCTATTTGAAGTTCTGCATAATTAAAATAGTCATAAACTTATAGTTACTATGATGTGTTTTCTGAGTGTTTGGTACATAAAAAATTAAGAATATGTTACAATTAAATCTACTTATAATATTGGGTAATGGGTGTACTTTCATAATAGTCTTGATAGATAAATCTGCATATTTAAAATTCCATACATTTTGTTGTTTCAAAATATTTATTAATTTATTTATTTATTGGCTGTTATAGAAAAGGAAAAACAAAAGCTCCTGAAACCATGTCAAAAAGGCATTTTGAAAGGCACATTAAATCCATCATTCAAAATCAGTCACCATGTTCCACATCATCATCTACAAGTGTAAATATTATACCAAACAGTAAATCAATGTCATCAAATAGTACTTCTGCAAGTAGCACAAGTAACTTAAGTAAACAATTATTAGTCTCAGATTCTGAAGTTATAAATAATAGTCATAATACAGTTATTTCCAATAAAAAATGTTGAAACAATTTTAAATGACTATACTTTATTTCATGAAAATTCTATCACAAATCCTTTACAAAATAATAAACCAATTTTAGCCGATAAACTAAGATTCATAATTTCAAAATATCATGTTTCGCACCATTTTGTAAATGAATTACTAACTATTTTACGTGATGAAGAATTGGATGTGCCTAAAGATGTAAGAACTTTACTAAGAACACCTAAATCAAATAGTCATAACATTTTGAATATAAATCCAGGAACTTATATCCATTTTGGGGTACATAATATGTTAATGCCAATAATATCTAAATTTTTTGATGAACTACATAATACATCTTTGTTAGAATTAGGATGTAATATTGATGGTCTTCCAATTTCTAAAAGTTCAAAAGCATGTTTCTGGCCTATACTAGTTTCATTTGTTAATTGCAATATTTATAATTTATCAAAAATTGTCATACCTATTGGAATATATTACCATAAAAGCAAAAAACCTTCATCAGCCTCAGAGTTTTTAACACATTTCATATCTGAAATGAAAATTATTATTGATAGTGGTGGCTTACGTATAAATGAAAAAACTTTTCAGTTAAAAATTAGTCAAGTTGTGTGTGATGCCCCAGCTAAGGCTTTTATATTAAATGTCAAAGGTCATAATGCCTACCATTCATGTAATTCTTGCATTGTAGAAGGTTCTTTTATTAATAATCGTATGTCCTATTTAGATATTAACTGTACCCTACGAACAAATGAATCATTTAGAGAAAAATTAGATGAATATTACCACAAAGGTGATGAAAGCCCTTTAGAAACATTGGATATTAACATTACTAATGTAGTAGTACTCGAATATATGCACAATATTTGCCTAGGAGTTATGAAAAAATTATTAAGCTTCTGGGTAAAAGGTTTAAAACCTATAAGACTTTTATCAGTACACGTGGATTTAATTAATTCTGATTTGATTGATCTTGGACAATATTTGCCCTCTGAATTTTGTAGACAACCTAGATCACTAGATGATATGGAGTTTTGGAAAGCTTCAGAGTTCCGATGTTTTCTTCTTTACACAGGGCCCATTGTTTTAAAAGGTCGCTTAAAAAAAAAACTCTATTCTCATTTCATTATTTTACATTGTGCTATACGACTATTGATGTCTGATAAAACATGTATTCTTTTTAATGATGTTGCAAATGATATGCTTAGGTCTTTTGTTAGAAAGTATTCAATATTATACGGAGAGGATACCATAAATTATAATGTTCACGGACTTATTCACGTACCAAATTTTGTTAAACTGCATGGTCCCCTTGATAATTTTTCCGCATTCAAATATGAGAATTATTTAGGATTTCTAAAAAAAATTACAAAAAATGGTAGTTATCCCTTAGAAGATATATATAACAGAGTAATTGAATACAATAGATTTAATAATTTAAATACTGATGTCACTTATCCAATCTTGAAAAATGAAATAGATTATTATGGTCCCTTGTATGGAAAAAATTTGTTAGTTACTTATTATGATTCAATAATCTTACAAAAATTCTCAATAACTTGTAATAATTTAAAAGATAACACGTTTTTATTACATTCAAATGATGTTGTTTCAGTAAAAAAAAATTATTCAATATCCCAACTCTAGTATAATGTTGGAAGTTATTAAATTTCATGAATGTTATCCTATGTTTAACTCCCCAATTAAGTCTACTGAAGTAGGATGTTTTTATGTAAATATTTTAAATGTATCATCTTATTATTTAGTACCATTAGATAGCATAAGTTTGAAATGTTTTTTTGTTTCTATATCCAATAATAAAGCTATAATGTTTACTTTATTGCATTCATTGTAAAAAAATAAAAGTATTAATTATATATGTATTATTAATTGTTTATCCCTATATTAAAAAACCATCAATAATATATTATGAGTTATGACTCAATAAGCTAACATTAAATATATTATATCATAAATAAAATTGTTATAAAAAAATGCTTAAAATATTTGTTTATGTATTCATTCCACCTGAAATGGAAGTCAATTTTTAACCGGTAATGGAAGTCCACTTTGTGATGTATAAAAAAGGGTTACAAAATACTACAATATCAACTTCACATGGTAAACTTAACATAGATCACATTTGATAATATCCAATGCGAGTTACATTTGTAACAGCATATAGCCTAGGTCTAATAACTTGGCATAAAGGGTCTTGGAGAAGTCGCTCTCACGTTACTAGGCTTTAATTTTAACCACACATCACACAATACAACGTCCATGTGACGTCTCATACACCGAGTTTTGCACACTGGGTATGTTCCCGGGTGATCACCCATCCGGGAGCTAGTAGCTGTGGCTGTTACTCTCAGTCGCATTCCGCAACTGATAGCAACCAACACGCCACGCCAAGCCACACACATATTATATTATTATTATTCATAATACAATATTATATTATTACATTCATGTGCTTCTAACATTTGGACAATAGGTAATAAAATGATTAAACCGATTTGTAGCACTGACAACATCCCTTTAAAATAAAACGAGGATATTTAATGTTACCCAGTAATTATTTTGAGAAATAAAATATTAACCTATCCGATGTTAATTCGGATAAACGTATTATATTTACACTGCGAACAGTGTCTACCAACAACTCTATTGTATTATTTATAAAATTAATTGACCTACTTTTAATATGTTGGTTTTCCATTGCGACTGTTATTTGTTTTATATCATATATTTCCCTTAAATCTTTAACTACAGATGGACCTTCTATTCCTGCAGTTAATACCCGTTTCCCGAGTCGGAGCTTTCTCCCTTATTACGTTTACTATCTTCATTTTTCTTTTTATAACATTTATCTATTGAGTGCCCCTTTTTTGAACAATATTCACATATCATGTATGTTCTCGCAATATTTATTTTCCCTTCATAACTTTTATTATTTTTAGATCTACAGTCTCTAGCGAAATGTCCGTATTTCCCACACGCATGACAATTACCTTTATTATATTTTTGCGTGCCCCCTTATTTTTGAAACCATTATAACTACTATTGCTACTGTTATATTGTTTTATTTCACTTGGGGTTATATTTTTATCTTCCACTAACGCCAACTGAATAGCTTGCTCTAAAGTGGTGGGATTTTTACTTTTTACCATAATTTTTATTCTATCTGAAATCCCCTCTAAAAATACCAATAAGGCCTGTTCCCTTATATTATTTTGGACTGCGAGTACATCGCTTGCACTTTTCCCTTGTGTGCTACCTTCTGATACGGCCTGCACTAAATTACGTATTCTATTAACGTATTCTATTAAAGTTTCTTTATTTCGATGTTTTGCACTAAATAACTCGATTTGTAGGTACGCTGCATTAGTGGGTTTATCATATGTATTTTTTAATAAAATTTTTAACATTCCCCAACTAGTTATTTTTTCGTACTTAATTACTTCGTAAGCCAAACCCTTTATCCGGTTTAAAATTGTCCTCCACATTATGTCATAGTTAGCTACCGGAGTTATGTCTACTACTAACTCGCATGCATTTATAAAAAATACCAATTTTTTGTCGATACCTCCACTAAACTCGGGTACCAACCGTATTACATGTTCCACCGTTTTATCTATACTAACGATATGTGCTGTTACACCAGTTCCTTCCGACCCACTATTACTATTTTCCACTGACATACTACTATCGTTACTAGTACCTACTATTATATCAAATATGTGGCTCTCAGAAAGGTCTACTGTACTTGTGTAACTATTATCTAATGTAATGTTTGAGCTATTACGACGTCTTGCGATATCTGACATAGGACTATGCTTACCAACTGTTGTACATTACTGCTTTGAATATTTGATTTCGACGCTTCTAAATGCCCGCTGGTTCACCGCAGATGTTGAGTTTTTTCTAGAAAAGTTGATCAGATTTCCTTTGAATGAACAGTTTGTCGGAATCCTCTTCGTTTTTGATACGATGTACGTGAAGATCCCTGTTTTCGGCACCAAAAATTTCCTGTTGTGATCCAGTTGTGGAGCACGGTTGTCGAAGGTCGACTCAAAATAAGTTAACACGTTGATTGATTAACTATTATTGTATGTTTATTAATATTTGATTAGTATTTAACACTTTTAAACACTCAGAGTAATGTTACAACTCAAGAAAAATACTTCTAGCATGGACACTGTCAACTATATAGTCGTCGTGCAAAAGTAATGTGTCTAGGTATCTCTAAGAGCGCCCTTATATATTGAACAACTGCCGGATCCTATAGTCTCTCACAAGGTCTCGTTTAAGTATTCATTAAGCATTTATTAATTTTAGAAATCTGCTTTTCCTTGTAATAATCATTAATAGCTATTAATACACTGTAACACGTATTCGACATGTAATACTTTTCTATATGTGTGGTCTTACATGCTGCGACTATCACAACACTCGCAAATACTTTTGGGTTATCGGAGTCCCTTCAGCCAATTAATTAATAATTAATTATTTTCAAGTACAACACACTTACCCGTTTATTAAAACCAAGTGGCTGTCAATATGTATATCTAATTTTATCCAGTTAAGGAATAGTTGGTTTGCTATTCCCACTACACGAACCGGTCTTAAGGACCGGGTCGTTGAATTGATACAAATAAAGTTTTTTAAGTTATATTATACAGGTCCTAGAAATTTATGACCTGCGTTCATAAACTAACACAATAGAAACGATATTATAGCATCGTTTTACAGATTTATTCATATGACTAAATATTAATATAATAATTATACTGTTCACTTTTACCTGAGTAACCCTGTTCTTGAGGGTTGTATTTTGAAGATCACAGGTGTAGCGGAGTACGAGTTGAAGCGATTGATTATATTATGATTTATCTATATTCTATAAGATAGGTTATTTATGCTGGGTTTACACGTGCATGTTTGTTGTGGCGCCAGTTGCAACTGGCGCGCCACTAAAAATAAACATGCACGTGTAAACATGTACTGGCGTGCAAGTGAAATGATTGCATGCATTGAAAAATAAAGTCAGATAATTCCAACTTTTCGTCGCGCCAGTGACTATTTTATTTTCAGTATAATAATTTGTACCTATTATTTGCGTTGTCGCACCTTTTCAAAATGTCAAAAATTTCAAAAAAATGGAACGGAGAATTAATTATAAAATTCTTCGAACTTTACGAAAAACATCCGTGCTTATGGGATGTATTTTCAAAAACCTATAAAGATAGGATTGCCCGGGAAGATGCGTACAGGGAAATTGCAAAAGCAATGAACATAGAGGGGTTTGAATCGGCGGAAGTGAAGGCAAAAATAAGATCTCTAAGGAATGCTTATACTTTAGAATTAGCTAAAATTCAAAAAAGCAAGAAATCTGGAGCAGGAATAGATGATACATATAAGCCAAATGTAAAATGGTTTCCAATTGCTCATCGAATTTTACACCAAGTAGTACAAACACGAGATTCACAATCAACTGAAATAAGTGTAAGTATAATACAAATTTAATTTAAGAATACTAAAAATTATAAAAATAAATATAGTATTATTTCTTGAGATTAAGCATATTCATTTGCCAAGGTACGGCTCCGTCTCCCATAAACCAATCAGCCAAATTATTTCTTATGTTTGAAGCATTTTTTGTATAATTATTACTCTCACTAGCACTAGTCAAATCTGGTAATCCCAGTCCTCGAATTTTTTTTCGCCATGTTCCATCAATTATTACTCCATTTTCATGGTCTTCTTCGTCAACACAACCCCGGTTAAGATAAGAGGAAGAATTCATTCTTAACCAGTTATGTAAAACACACGTTGTTTTTACAATATTATCTGCCTTTTCAGGAGACAATGCATTTGGTTTTTCAAATATTCTAAATCTAGAAACAAGAATACCAAATGCAATTTCAACGATGCGTCTAGCACGTGATAGTCTGTAATTGAAAACTCTTTCTTTTATTGTCAATGGGCCGTGATGAGAATAGGGCTTCAATAGATAATCTTTAAGTGGGAAATGCGTCATCTGCTACAAATATTGTATTAGGTGGCATATTTAATAAATTATTTTCCACGGCATTCTTTAAACTAGATTTTGAAAAAACACCCCCATCAGATGCCCTTCCATTAGATCCAACATCTATATATTTGAAACAATATTGATCATCAACAAGTGCAAACAAAATAATGCTAAATGAGCCTTTATAATTGTAAAAGTTCGATCCTGAATGAAACGGGGCTCTTAAAACCACATGTTTGCCATCCAGGGCTCCACCACAGCCCGGAAAATTCCATCTATTTGAAAATCCTTTTTTTATATCATCCCACTCTTCTTGGGTATTTGGAACCTATAAAAAAATGTAATATAAAAAAATAAAAAACGAAATAAATGAAAAAATTTTTAATTAATTATTTACTTGATAAAAATTAGCACTACTTTTAAAAAAAGAACAATGTATTTGAGTAAGAAAAAATGTATTTGAATCTTAATTTTTAATTTTTTTTATTCAGGGACAAAACAATTATTTGAATGAAACTACAAATAACGATGATGATACAGAAGACACGGAGTTTGGAAATGAGTCGAATAATATGGATGAAACAATCAATTTTCCTTCTCCAAGTCATTCTCAAAATAACAAACGACTAGCTCCAAAATTAAACATTGCACCAAAAAATCAAAAACTGTTATTAAATCTCATATGAACAGCACAGAACGTGCTATACAAGATCTTCGAGAAATATCGAGCAAGTTGGACGAAAAACCAGAAGAAAATGAATTTGACTTTTTCGGAAAAACTATCGCATGTATGTTGAAAAAACTTCCAGAAACATTGGCTGTAGAATCGATGGCACATATTCAAACATACTTGGCTCAACAACGTTTAAAAGGCACTGTCAATCAAAATCATCGAGCATCTGCTATTAATGAAAATATAACGTTTTCACCATCTTCATCAAACTACAACAGTTATTCTAGTCCATCATATACTACGGGTTCACCAATCAATACTTTTGGATACTCAAGTAATGAAAATTCTCAAAATACTCAATCAGATATTTTAGCGAGAGCTGTTACAAACATTTTACAGGAAGATATATATATGTTAAATGAGTAAAATTATTTTATATTCTTGTAATAAAATAATATTAATTGCTATCATATTATTTTTAAAAATTATGTTCATAAAATGAAGGTATAATGTTAATTTTAAAGGTTTTTTTTAATTTTGTATTTTATTAAAAAATAAAGTAAAATTAAATTGTGTTAGATCATGTAACTACTTACTTTTATGTAATTTTCAAGCACACTGTAAATAGAATCACACACTTCAGGTAGAAATTTTGAAATCGTACACTTCGGTACTCTGTATAAGTATTGCAATGAAGCAAATGAGTCTCCGGATGCTAAATATCTTAATGTAATTTGGAGTTTTAATCTAGCTGGTAATGCGTCTCTCATTGTTGTGTTTTGTTTTTCTATTGATGGTGTAACATGCTGCAGTAGGGTTTCAAAAAGGTCTGATGATATTCTTAAATGATTTTTGAATGAATTTGGATCTTCTAACGCAAGTTCTTTTAAAAGTATATCGGATGCTCCAAAATGTTGTCTTCTAGCAATCCACTTCCTTACCCAGACTGACCTATTCTTTTTTTTACTTTTTTTTTCTAAATCTGATATGATATGTTCAGTTACTAATTTTAATACTATTTTACAAGCATGACGAAAATGTAATTCCTTTTCAGCCGACATTTTAATTAGTTTAAAATATAATTATAAGTATGATTAATTAAAAATTTGAAAAATAATAAAAACATGGAACTACAACAGTCATACAAATCAACAACGAACGTAATGAAGTGGCGAGAGATTGATGCTAAACTGTGTAAACAATTACTGGCGATACATTTTAACTGGCGTACATGATGGCGCCACAACAAACATGCACGTGTAAACCCACCAAAACCAGCTTTCCGAAAAATCCGCCAGAATGCGGGCACTTTAGTGTCCCGACCAATCGAAAAATTACAATTTTTTTCTTCCAATCGTCGTTATCTCCCGCCGTCGTCGTTATCGTTATCTCCCGCCGTCGTCGTCATCGGTTGGGTTATTGCTTATTACTCATTATTATTGTTTTTATATACCGTTTTGTCCGCTTTTCGCCCGGTTTTCCGGCCTTTCGAGACCTCTTTCCGTCGCGTTCTCGACGCTATAGCCCGGAGCGGGTCTTTTTCGTCCGGTCCGCGCGTCTCCGGATTTCGTTCGCGGCCGTTGCGTCCGGAAAAAGCGTACTCGCGGCGCGTTCTCCAGTCGGTCGTCGTATCGTCAATACTGTTTTTTTTTTTTTACGATACGATAAATCGTTTATCCGTATCGATTACGCGTTTTTTTGTTTTCGGTGTCTCCGCCCTCGGACGCCTCCGCGACCTTATCGTCTCGATAGCGTACGAAATACGATTATATATGTGTATATATATATATAATAATAATATCATATAAAAAAGAAACGTGCGTACCGTTGTTGACGTACGTCAGATCGTGTTTATTATATACAAAACAATCGCAAAATCGTTGCTCTTCAGTCGTTGTAATGCCTTTAATCGCATACCTTTTGGGGGGGATATCGTGATATGTGTATGTGATGATAAACTCGGTACGTCGTTGAGACAATACGATTAAAAAATGTAAACGAATACGTCGGAAACGTTCTAAACGACAATAAATATGCGATTTACGGTTTCGTGACACGCGAATCGTAAAAATTGTACGGGTCAAACGACGTATAATGTAGCATTCGTCGCATCTCTAAAACGGTTTAAGTGCTCGAGATTCGGTTACGGTTTTCAACTTGAGCGGTAGTCGATAGGTGTTAGGATAGGTCCCCCGACGTTAGGTAGGCAGGTTCGAATCCCGGTCCGGCGCATTCCGGGCGGCCCCATAAGAAACTACACGTACGGGATTTCTTGCATTTTTTTTTTCATTTAATTCGATCATTACTAATTGCTATTTTCGTTTTGAAATGACATTACTACTCATATAATATTTTTCAAATTTTAAAAACGATTTTTGATCTCACACATTACATTTTATACTGCTTGATTGATGATGACAAAATATATTATATTATAATATACTTTACACGAACGTTAAATTACACAATAGTATTCAATTAAACCAATTATAGTTATTGCTAACAGTATGCACGATTCAAATGTACATATTATGTGATATGCAATTTATATTATAGCCCGAGAACATTCTATTGATGACGATACAGTTGTTTCACTCGGTTTTTTGACGGTGAATTTACTATTTTATATGTTTAGCCTTTCATTCGCTTACTTTTGAAAGATACAGGGGAAAAACAGTAGCAAATTTTTTTTCTTTTGATTTTTAAATATTTTGTCATCACAGAAAGCGCATATTATTTCTTTTCGATATCTAACCATCTATAAAATATGAAAAAAAATATTAATTATGTATAGTTTTTTTGATTTTCAACTAGCTAACGTTTGACATGCGTTTTCCATAATGCGTTTAACATCTCTCCTTTACGCCCACGTCGTTCGCGATCCGACGCAGTCGGATCGCCTACCTGGGAGGTTCAAACGCGTTTAATTGGATTTTCAGTGGTGATCGCTTGACAAATCGAGCGCTCGATTCGACTTAAACTTTTTTGCGTACGAAACAGCACAACGGTTTCGACGTCAGGAGGTATGACAATCCGCCGCAGCCAGATTGCCCTGTCAGGTATCGATATTCGATGGGCGATGACTGATAACTAGACACTTAATAACCCTTTCGGAGTGTATTTATTTATTTTCCATGCACAAAAGCACAGGGCAAGCTACGGGACAAGGTGTATTAAACCTGTGAATTTAATGAAATGACCGACCACTAGACGCTCGAATTAGACTTTTATTATTTATGCCAAAGTGTAGAGCCACCAAATCAGAGGTACCAACATGTCAAACGTCGTTATCACTGGTTTTGCCTACTAGACTTTTCTAACTGCTGTATTCTTAAGTCCTGTCTCCGACCTAGGAAATTCACTTCAAACGATATTCAGCTACCTAGGGTACTCACATACAGCGAGTTTTACCGACCTAGGGTATTCACATACAGCGAGTTTCACCGACCTAGGGTATTCACTTACAGCGAGTTTCACCGACCTAGGGTATTCACTTACAGCGAGTTTCACCGTTGCTAGTGAAAAAATAAAACCGCGATAAAATTACATTATCAAGAAATATTTAATACAATACTGCCACGATTTGAGTTATTGTAGTTAAAATTAATATAATACTAATTCAAAACAGCCACAAACCTAAATATGCCAGTCTTCAAAATTCCTCTTAATGTCACTATTTATGAAAAATAAAACTGTAAACCGCCATAAACATAATTATGGCAGTTTTGAATTTTTAGAACATATTTAAATGATGATTTAATAGAAAGTAATACACATATATTTGAAATGTGGCAGTATTCCGTTCATTGAAGCGAAAAAAACAAAAAATGTTATACCGACACAAATCTGTGACGCTGTATTTAATTATGATAACGTTTGTGGCGGTCTACCATTTTGTAGTAAAAAATTTTGTGATTCTAATGGTATTATCATACTCAATATAACTAAATTTTGAGTTGTGGCGGTCTTGTTCCAAGTGTGCGATATATTATATATATTATATTATTATATATATTTTTAATCAAAATGTGAAATACTCTGTACTAGTAAAATATAGTAACTATTAAATAAATATAAATATAAATATAAATTACTTACAATAAATGTTCTTTTCTTTTTTTTCCAACGAGTCAAACCCTTCTTTAAAAATTCGACAAACGTCGTTCCAGCTATCCTGTTTTACAGTTTTATTGGCGTAATCGGAGTGTGATGTGTTCCATAACGAAGGGCGACGTTCAATTTCAATAATTAATTTGTCAGTATCAAAACTCATAACTAATTTTTTAAATTTTAATGATAATTTTAATTATATTATATTACTTTAATAAATTAAAACGTTTAAAAAAATAATATGGCAATAAATAATCTGGACACACGTGTCTCGTCTGAACGTACTGATTGAAATATATTTGTTATCTGTGGCCGAGACACAGACACTGTGTCCGGCGACTAGAGGGGACGCGACACGCCGATTCAGTAGCGGGACACGAAGTCTGTGTCCGTGTCTCGTGTGAACGTTTCTATTTATAACAGCATATTTATAGCTGTTCGATTCTTTTGAGACACTCGTGTTCAGCCACTAAGTGTCTCGTCTGAAAGCGCTCTAAATCATTCATATTTGTGGACCACTTGTTTAATAATCAATACATAACTAGAAAATAATTTCTTAATTCTTATTATAGCTTTCAATAAAAATTAATCATAATAAGGTAATCCATATACTATTTGTACTTATGTCTTATAAGTTATAATCTGAAGTTTTAATAAATATATTCTAACTTTACCGGCCATAGTTCCGCGATAGCTGTCCTACGGCACGCACGTGCGTACAGTGCGCTAGTCTTACGACTCAACGTTACTCGTTTATTATCTGGTTTTTTTTTTTTTTTTTTTTTTAAGCCGGTTAATCAAAGATATGACTTAGTCTTAATGTACATATTTGCTCTTCTCTTTCAATAAAGTCTCGTGCACAATAACAAACGGAATTAATATTCATATGCAATATTGTCCTAGTTGCAATATTGTCAGCGTTCTAGCGCATACGGTCTTATCGGCGACCGCCTCGGCGGTCTCGATACTATTATATAACAATCTAATTACGTTATCGCAACCCGCCGTCGTCTTCAAACGTACTAGCGTGACTGCTATTGTATTTATTCAAAACTAATTAATAATTTATCCTAATCAAAATGTCTAGCGGAAACAACAACAACAACATTAATAATAATAAAGATATTGGTAAAATGAAGAACACCGTATCCCCGGTAACTATCAGTAAAAATAAAACCTCCAACTCGTCACTTGGTACAAGTAATAATCAACCAGATGTAGAATGGACCATAAAACAATCTAAAAGAAATCTCTCCAGTTCTACTAATTCTGAACCAAACTCTCCACGTGAGCCACTTCCCAAAACCAAAAAAAAAATATTCAAATCAGCAAATCGTTATGAAGCTCTCGCTTCTAACGATGTTCAAGATTCTAATCAGCTGAATAATCAATTCGACTTCTCTCTCAATGATTCTACTGAAAATACTACCACTAACATGCAGACTGATTGTACAAATGATCCACCAATTAAACCTCCTCCCCCAATTTTCGTAAGAGGCATCGAGGATTTTCCTGAGTTATGCACAATACTTATAGCACTAATCGGTGTTGATAACTTTGTCTGCAAATCATTTACAGACAGACTAAAAATTCAAACTAGCACTCCAGACGCATATAGGTCACTAATACGATATCTAAAAGAAGAAAAAGCCGAATACCACACCTACCAACTTCAACAAGACAAACCTGTCCGAGTCGTAATTCGCAACTTGCACCCATCAACGCCTACTACTCTTATAAAATCTGAATTAGAATTACTTCAATTTGAAGTGAGAAATATTACCAATGTTCTACACAAAACAAATAAGTACCCATTACCTCTTTTTTTGTCGATCTGGAACCCAACAGCCAATCAAAAGATATATACAAATTGACATCTCTTTTACACACAAAAATCAAAGTAGAGGAACCTTTCAAAGCCAAAACTATAAGCCAATGTTTAAATTGTCAA